GTGTGGTCACTTGTTGACCATACGAAACAGGTCTGTAGCAATAAAACGATGAATCACTCCTGAAGTCCTGAACTACATTTAATGAATATATATATATATATATATATTTTGTTTTTTTTTGTTTTTTTTTGTTTGTTTTTTTCGCGAAGCTTGTGCCATGGACTGATACAAGAGAGCACAGTCTCTTGACTGATATAAGCTCATGGCTCATATGACAAATACCTTTAAGACCTTCTTCAACAGGAATCCTTTCAGCAGCTGTTGCTAGCATCATCAACACCAAGGCAAACAACAGCATTTTGATATCCCCCTATAAAGATTGCAGAATTTTCAGAACTTTGACTGATTAAGCGATTGAGTCATCTTGGAAGTCTCTCGGGAACTTAGACCATCTTAACCTGAGGTCAAGATGGCTGGATATTGACCAAGATCGTTCTTTGAGACACAATCGATGTCCATGAACATGCTAAAAAGGTCTAGGCCAATACCCAACCATCGTTACCGAAGAAAGAATTTATTATAATGTAGGCGCCAGAATTTGTGTCATAGCTTCGTTTTAATGTCACGTTTTCGCTCCATTAGTTTCCTTCGTTTTGTGGCCTTTTGTCCATGCTATGTTCATTTGCATATACGTTCGGTTCGCGCGTAATTTTAAACAATTATTGGTTGAGGTTTTTGTGATGTCCGGAATAATCAAGGTCGAGGTAAGTGTAACGACAAACGCATTATCGCACCGAGCACAGTTTATTTTCGACAAGCCATGTTCTTACTTCGCTGTCCGCGAACTTGACATTGCTTTTGGAAATCATGCATTGCGCGCGCAGCCTACAGATTATTCACTAATCTGCTAGCAGATTAGTGAATAATCTGTAGGTTGCGCTGTTTCCCAGAATTAACTGTAGGCTTTTAGCCAATGAGAAGACATATGGTGACTACAATGTACAATGAATTTAGTTAGCAGCGGTTTGAGTTTCTGTCTACGCCTGTTTTGGAATTGCTCCAGTTTACAGTTCGTCTTTGGTTTTGGGGTTCGTAACAGTCGTCTTGTAAGTTTCCTCGTTTATATCGCTTTGCCGTTTTTCTGCCTTCTTCACGTTCGGTCGCTGTTAGTTATTTTGTGTTCATTATCGTGTTTGTAATTTTGTTATTTCAGTTATCGTGTTCAATATTCGCATTAAATGGAATTAAATTAAGCTATGGCAATATTTGGATGCGCGTGATTAGCGTGTGCGACAACAATATGGCATAAAGAAACCTATCCTCTGGCGGGAAATAACGGGTACTCCCGAGCCAACAAAATGGCGCCATCTTGCCAGCTGGCCAATCACTGCGCAGGGTCATGGAGAAACTGTGTTATCGATGAAGCCTGAGTTCAAGATGGCTGGATATTCGCCAAGCTCCTTTTCTTTAGAAACAGTCGAGATGTCCATGATCACGCAAAAGGAACGAGACTAATATTAAACCATCTTGACCACACAAGCTTGGTCGTTATTAGGGGTGGCGAATGGTCATTCAAAAGCATGGGTCTCGCACAATTTCCGTCGAATTTCACGAGTCTCGTAGTCTTGATTTTTTTATCAAAGTTGTCTCGCAGTCTCGCAGTCTCGCAGGCTCGCTCGGATTTTTAGCAAGTCTCAAAGTACCGCTTTGTTTCTTTTATTTATATGGGTACAAATGACGTCTGAACGTCTCAGAATCTGAACTTCTCGAGCTCGCATTTAAAATACTTTGAAGTCTCTCTCTTCCCTGCCTTAGATCCGCCACTGAGGGACCCGGGGAGCCCCCCCCCCCCTGATTTTGGGTAAAAAGGAAGAAATCACAGAAGGAAGAAAGGCCGGCAGAGCAATCAAAACAAAACCGCGCCCCCCTGAGCTCAAGGTCTGGATCCACCACTGAGAAGTCAAAATGTCTCAGGCTCGCGAGGAAAAACGCTACTCTTGTCTTCACCATTTACCTCCTCTTTTATCGCTTGGCACATTCTCCCAAACGAGTAATACTTTAGATGAAACAAATCCTGTCTTGAAGATTTGAATTAATAGAAAGCAGAGATAAATCTGCCCGTTCCTGAAAGCGATGGCGTGTCAGATAACAGGTGAACCTTTCATTTGTTGTTTATTCTAGCTGCAGGCCCAACTGAAGGAAAACATGTCAACACATTATCAAAAGAATCAAACGTATCAGAATTTCCTCAGCTGTTGCGTGTTAAATGTGGTGAAAAGATGTGAATCGTTTATACAAACACGTGTGGGTAAATATTGAATCGAACAAAGCTATGTCTCAGATTTGTTCAAATACTGCCGACGCGTTCCCTACATAACATTCGCAACAAATAAAATGGAGTAGATGCCAAAGGTTGTGTTTTGGAGTTATCATGCTTTTAATCTCTCCAACTGAAACAAACACACTATTGAAAAAATGTTATTAATCTCTTGGAGTGCTTAACTATCAAAACTCTTATGTGAAAAAACACGTTCAGAGATTAACAAATACCGTAAACCTTTTGTGGAAGATAGCCAACTAGCGATGAAAATATATTTTTTGTGCACGGCCATCCAAGTTCTGATCCAGAGTTAATTACTGTTTTAGTGGCAGTCGAGAAACAATTGGAAAGAACAAAATGCGAGCTTTTTTCATTTCTTTCTTGCTATCATATTCCGCGCATATTTATGACTGCCCGTAATAATTATATCATTCCTCAATCTATGTTACACGCCCCCTTCTCAAACTATCTGTAACCCTCAAGACTCAGTTTGTGACAAGTATGTAGCAATAGAGGCTATCCTTCTACACGTATTTTCAGTGAACAAACCTCTTTAGCTTCGTGTGGTTGTTGCCGCATACGACACATGTGATTATTTGTTTCGATCGCAAACATTTATACGTGAAAATGAATGGCTTATGTGAAGATAGATAGCAAGGAACAATTCTTTGGCACCGATTAAAACGTACAACCCTGTTTCATGCAATTCAACCTACAGCTTGCCTGCGAAGTTGTAGGTCTGATCTACAGAAAACAGTTCTTATCGAACACTTGTCGAATGAGGCAAAAGTGCAAACATTTTTTTTTGGTTCCTTAGCTAGAGTACGTGATTCAACTGGTGGGCAATTTAGATATGACGCGAAGCGATTTTTGCTAATTCCTTCAAATCAATACATTTCCGAGAGATCTGTTCCACTACATCAAAGAGATGAAAAGCAGACGCTAGAAATAATTGTTTTAGTTTTTTGAAATATTTTTGAGCAGACGCGCCACATGATAAGCTGTTAAACAAACAAGGGGTCTTCACGCTTCATGTATATTTCGTTTCGGAAGTTCTAACGCACGCAATGAGACTTGAGGGATGTTTGCTGCTTTAAAGCTGTTTGTCTGCAGATAGAGTAGCCACGAATAACCTTTAAGCTCAAGTGTCCTATCCCATACATAGAACAATGGTAATTTGGTAGATTTCAATCGGGGGGGGGGGGG